ACAGGGTAGCAGAGCATAAGTCGACGTTCATTAGCCGGCAAATCAACGTTGTGAAGCTGCTGGGCACATTGAAGTAAATTAATGTCGAGCAAAAGTGCTCGTATACCAGTGTTACCAGCTGTCAATATCATCTTGTTCTATTGACTTGCCAAAATTGATCTTCCAAGCAGCAGTACCGAAGCAATACGTCCAGTGGTGCGATATGCGTTATCTCTCAGACGTTCGATGTGAACGGATTAGCAGCTAAGAAGATGGATGCGTGAAAGCAATGGAGGGTGTCATCCTACACCTGTCTCTATCTCGGCCAGCGGAACTTCAGCCTTGAGTACGAAAGAGGAGACTTAGTTATCCCTGTGTACACCTGTCTCATCCGCGCGCTGAACAGTATATACATTCAAGCATCGCACATTCCGATCGCCGAGTACGTGAACTCGTAGGGTACAATTTAGCGACATATCAGTGTATCACTGCACAGCTGGGCACTACCTTCGCTAAAGGAAAGTGAACAGTGAGGGAAATGGCAGACGGGCTCATGTCCGCTCTCTTCATGCTTTTCCATAATTCTCATGTCGGCGTATGCGGCAAAGGCTACATTAGTCTGGAAAACCGACTCGGTTGCCGGCTTTGAGACGAACCATGATGCACCTCAGAGAGTAGACTGCAGGTTGTGCCTCATTGCTTGGGACCGGAGAGAAAGACCATGAGATAGTAGGTGGGCGGGAGGAAAGCTGAGTTGTGAAAGTTCAGTGCTTGTGGATTTCAGGGTCTGCCGAAGGAACTCAAACATATTATCTCGGCCAAGACGCAATCAGACACATGTTTCTTCGCAATTATTTTCTTGTATGGATTTTGTGACTCATCGGTGTTCTGCGTTGGTATTGTTATGGGAGGTTATCTGAGACACACGGGCACCTGGTGGGTTGGGTAGCATCCTTGGGACAGGCTTTCGGAATCTGGAACAGAGTGCTACGACAAAGCATGCACACGAGACCTGACAAGCTACAACGCTAATAATACAACGGCGTCTTGTGATTGAATGATGTGCCGCCAACGGTCGTGCGTATTCCTCGGCGGGTGGGAGTACTGGATACCGACGGGAGCGACATCTTGCTCTGCTTTTTGGACAGAAGTCTGTAGACCGAGGGGAAAGCGACGCTAGGGTTTTCGAGATGGTGAAACTGACAAAGTCAATCTTACACATTCCGTGTGATTTGCTTCTCACACAGGAGTATGTCTCACCTCTCGAGATGTTCAAGTACTGGGAAGAGCAGGTCCCTGAGTCTGTGGGCAGGATCATAGTGTTACAAACTTCGTGGGCGTCATAGCTGCAAGGCGCTTCACAGGCAGTTGTAAGATTGCTTCTTTACTTCAACGGCTTGACGGTATGTCATTGGCTCACACCAGATTCCAGGGCATCCAACAAACGCCCCGGTAGACAAGTCGAGTATTAAAAGTGGGTTCTAGTGAAGAGGCATCCCGGGGTACCCGGGGAAGCGAGACAAGGAACATCTCGCCTGTCACTCACACTGGCGGCCCGCGATAGGTATCCGTGCAGATATCACTCTCCAATCGATGAGTTAGGTAGTGTTGGGGTGAAACACTCGGGCGGCTCGGGTTGGTGGAACTCGTTAGCTGTCCCACCAGGCGCTTCAAGGCAAGTCTGTGTTTGTCAGCCTGGCCCATCGAATGGCTGGTCGAAAATGGCGCGAGAATCCGTAATGTCAGAAGAAGCCTGGCTGAGATTGACGGGGTAGGTAATTTGGGAGCTGGGATGCTGCAAACGGTTTTCTCGGGTCAAGGGTGTTTCCAGTGAAAATGGAACCAGGATGCTGTCAAATATACCGTATGATGATGCCACCCAGGCACGTCTTTTCTGTCACAGTTGACGATGACGCCCGGTTTGAGGCCACGGCGAGGAGAGCCGATGCCATGGTAGCGGCCAAGCAAGCGGCGTTCTCCTGAAAGTCCTCGTGGAACCTGCCAGAGTCTTGACATTATTCAGGAGACCCTCCTCGTATTACGCTGCGTCCAACAAAACTGAATTTGGAAGTCGTGCCTAGATGCCGCCTTCGATGCCCAGTGCCGATATTCCCGAGGCTGTATAACCAGTTCTGGTGCGGGCGGATGCTTGGAAGCGCGTCACCAAGCTCCCCTGCAGCCTGCTGTGGGTACACGATGACACCCGTCCAGTTGAAGTGGTGAAAAGCTAGACGCAGGTATAACAATTGCGGAAGGCGGCAGGCGTCGCATGACGGCAGCCGCAGCCCGCCTCAACCGCAGCTTGTGGCAAAATGTGTTGCGCAGCGCTGCATTTGTTGACGACTATGTATACAGTATCGGAGCCCGTAACGGAGAACAGTCACAGAATGGGAAAGACAGCATTACAGTGAAAGCAAATATCGGCAAGGATTATCACGCGCACGTGGTTAGATGAAGCGAGCGATCTTATCGATATGACTTGATGTCGCGCCGATGCATTCCCTGCACGTCAGCCCGAGAACCGAAGAATTCTGAAGATCTCAGATGGTGAAACAAGGGCCTTCGGGTTCTTTGCTAATCATCACAAGATGGAGTTTAAACAGCAGGCAGAATCTCGTATGTGATTCCCCGCCCTAACGACCTTGGCAGGAACAAGCGCCGTTGCTACGCTCGAAAAAGCAAGACGTGAAACCAAGTCCGAAGCTCGTCAGCCAGGAACAGACAAAACACCTTTGCGGTGCTGAACGGAGCTGCTCCGAAACCCCACAGACTCCCGCGCTTCGCTGTTTCGAAACAGTAAGGCCAACTTCGTATCCGCACGTACGCGAGCTGGCCTTACGCACATTGGCCGCGGCCTGGTCAGGAGATGCCACTGCTGAGCAAATTCGACTAGCATGCTGGTCCCACAACGGCCTCGAGGCGCTTGAGAGTGACCGTGCTAAACGGGAACGTAGACGAGCCCGACGGTAGTCTTGGTCAGTCGTCAGCAGATGATATAAAGGATGAAAGCCGCCCGATGTGGAAGAGGCCATCACTCCCAGTGACACACAGTCCCTCCTGACAAGCTAGCCTTCGTCGTCATTCATTCTACACTTCACTCTTTTGCATTCGAAAACGCTGGGTCGTCTTCCTCTTATTCACTGGACTTTTTTGTTGCTAAATAGGGAACACTTCGACGCACTTCCTGTATTCACAGTGGAACATTGTTAACAGACCACCGTTGTGGAGCCACCAGCACTTGAAGTCTAGAAGTTCTTCATTTGATACCCCCCAAAAGTCACTCTTTACGTACACGGTCTTTACGAATCCACCAACAGACTCAACCATGTACACAAACATATTTTCTGTGCTCGCCCTGGCTGGCGCTGCTCATGCCCATATGTCCATGTACTACCCGGCTCCTCTAGGAGGCGCCCCTTCCATCAACCCACAATCTACGGAGCTGGACCCACAGTTCAACTACCCGCTTGGCTGCTGCGGCCCCGATGGCGGTGACAGTAAGCCCTCTCCTGGCCTTTGCCGTGGCCATCTTGACAAGTTCGACACCGAGGATGCTACTGTTACCTGGCAGCCTGGTCAAGACGCCTACTTCCAACTCACCGACTACGATTACGATCCCGAGGCACCTGGCGGCACCCACTATGGGGGCTCTTGCCAGGTTGGCTTCTCCACCGACAAGGGAAAGACATGGAAGATGGCCGCCTCATACCACGGCGCTTGCCCGCATGCCACCGAGGATGGATCTCCCGAGGCCCAGACCTTCGACTTCAAAGTCCCCACCAACATGCCAGAAGGCGATGCCATCTTCATCTGGGTCTGGCTCAACCGTGAGCACGAGGCCTTCGAGAACTGTGCCAAGGTCCACATCGGTGGATCCGGTTCCGGCTCTGGCTCTGGCGATACCAGTGAGCCCAATGAACCATCACAGTCTGCAACTCAGCCTGAACAACCCGCTTACTCTGAGACTGAGCCCGAAGAGACTCCCGAGCCAACCTACGCACAGCCTGAGGCACCTGCTGAGGACGAAGAGGAAGAAGATGATGGTGAGCGATACGAGCAGCCACCGGCCCCTACTCCTGTTGAGAACGGCCCACCGGCTGTTGTCGTTACCACTGTTGTAGCGACCACCATCTACGAGCAATACCAGGCTACAGAGACACCCACAGCCGAGCAGAGCGACAACTCTGATCGCGGTCACTGGTGGAACCGTCATCACAAGGAGGTCAAAGCGAACACCCGCCGCTATGCAGTAGACGGTTCGAGCTGTGAGTGCCGCCGCGACGAGCTTACTCTCGCAGCCCGTTGCGCTTGCGATTCTACCAACAAGGCCATTGAACGCAAGGCTCTGCGCATGCATCGCCGCACTTTCTACAAGCGTGTCGATGCTTGCGACTGGAACTCTGCACCTGCCATGGAGGTCTCGTACTATACTCCCGATGCCAACTGCGCACCCGGTGCGAAGGACCGCATGCCTGAGAGCGACACTTTCGAGCTAGGCTGGGACGTCAACTGCGGTGTCGTCGAGGGCCAGAGCGAGTATGAGATCAAGATGATGAGCTGCGACATGTACGGTTAGGTGTGTCGGTTTAGGTCCATATTTCCTCACCTTATCTTTCACTTCTTCACTTTCGTTCATCATGTTCCTGAACGCTGGGATACGTTTTAATTCTTCTTGAAGCACAGTGGGGATGACCCTATGCTTCCAAACTTTTACACATTAGATTCGGGATGGATTGGCGTTTTCGTCACACATGGGAGGCTTCACGACATTCACGCACATAACTTATGACGGTTGGGCTGCGTCAGAGCCTGAAGGGACACATTGTAGAGCACTGGCAACACTGCAAACAATTGATCACTTTCGCAACTAGACAGACTTCACATTGTATGAAGTCGTGCACTGATACTTATTACAATTACTTCATTGGTGACTACTCAAGGTTCCACAGTCATCCTCTTGGGTGCAAACCAGGAGAAATATCATTGCTACACTCGTGCCAGATTGAGGGACAGAGGAGCATCTAAGACGACTGTCCACCCTTCCTGCCGGCCTCCTTAGCCTTCTCACTGCCGGGCTCGAAACTGCCAGATGAGGCCTTGCCACCCATAGAGGCGATGTCGTGTTCTGTAGTAATGTCAATCCTAGCTATTTAGTATACAGATGTACACTTACGCTTGTCAGCATCCATAGATGCGAAACCGCCGCTATGGGAGTGCTCTCCACCTTTCTGTGCTGCGGCCTTGACTTCGTCCTTGGGACGGTTCGCAAAGTTTCCGGGGTTGTCGTTGCCAGACATTGCTTGGTTTGTGCGAGTGGGTTGAGACAGGTATTTATGTATGATAAGGTCGATAGTCGTCTCGGATTAGAAAGATGCTGCTGTGCTCACCAGTAACCTATCGACTGAGCAGTTTATATGCCAAGGTCTCCAGGTCAGGATCGTCTATATGTCGTCAGTGCTCCATCACAACAATTCGCATATTACTATGATGAAATTGCATCTTTGTTCGACGGCTACATCACACGTTGCGCAGACATCCAGCCACATGCAATTTACCCGCATCCACATAGTTGCGTACAACGCGGTGCTTAGCCTCGGCTATGTCATGATGGTAGTGAATGACATAAGAAAAAGCCTCTCGCGGTACTCAATGTCGTAGTGGAGAGGCTGACGACATGACGTGACCATTTCGTTAGTCGCTAGCACGGACGCGTCTCAAGGATCGCGTTGATGATCGATTATCGGACCATGGTGGACGTTTTGGATGGAGTGTAGACAACCAAATGGTCGCAGGTATATTTGTACTATTTAGATGTAATTGTCATGAGATTAGGATGATAGTCCTGAACAACTCGTGTGATGTGCGCTAGGCCGATTGCGAGATGTCACGTGACAGCGCGAAAGCGCGCAAAGTAGTCAGCGTCGTCTAAGTAGGGCAATACTCCTAAGTGAACAAGCCAATACACTTCCTCGATAGGAATGCTGAGGTGTATGGGAACTGGAGAGCGGATGAAACATGTGAGCATGGCTGGTGAGACTGGTGAGAAGATTCGATTGCACATACCTGCGTGGTATGACCGCGAATTCGCGCTCTAAAGTGTTTGAGATATACAACAAATACATTTCAACATGGATAGCGGGGAACAATAGACACGAAAGATCTTGACTGATGAATCCCAAACAACGCCAGCGTCCAAGTCATCATCGTAACCAAGTGACTCCAATATACACCGACGGAATTACACCCTCTTGACCCCATATTTTCATTGGGATCTCCATATACCCAAGTCTGATCCCAACCTCGCGACCGGTACCTCGTATCCAAGACCCTTCATAGCACGTACGATAGGAGGCCAGGTATTCTATTCCTGTGTCTTTCCCCCACCCATGCGCTCGATGTTGGACAGTAACCTGCTCTTCCCACCACTTTGACTCCGGTTCAAACCGGGAGCACCTTGGAACTTAAGGCCACCTGGTGCGCGAAGTCCAGATGGTTTAGCGATTCCACTGCCGGTACGCTCGTTCATGGCACCTAGACGGTCACCCATCGCACTGCCGGGACGTCCACCGCCAAGTGCGGATCCGGGGCGTGAGGCACCGGGGCCACCGGCCAGAAAACCCGTGTTGCGCATTGCTTGCTGAGGCGGCGCTTGCCGTTGAGGGGCAGCAGGTGCGGAGCCCATTTGTGAGCGGCGAAGGTCTTCTTGTTGCATCTCTTCCATCTTTTCTCCGCACATGGAAAGCATCTGTTCGGCGGCCGCTACGAGCTCGCCTTTCTCGATGCGCTCAGCTTCAAGGTCTTCAACAAGGGTATCGTGGGATTTGCGAAGAGACTGAAGTTCCGACTGAAGACCGGCGAGTCTAGCCTTGAGGTTCTCGATTTCAGCTCTCTGCGCTTCTAGCATCTGAGCGTCTTCGGCGTTCCGTGTGTTCTTTGAGGGAGATACTCCTTGGCTCTCGTCCCTGGCGTCGTGCTGGCCTGGATTGATCCTACTGAAAGTATTGTCACGCTTCTTCTCTGCGTCTTCCACTTGCCGTTCGAGACTAGCAATCTGCGCCCGAAGCTCTTTGCACTTTTCGTCGGCCTTCTTCTGGTAATTGTCCTTGAGGGCTTTGATCTTCTTCTCGTGTTTAGCCTTGTAGGCTGTGTGCAGGTCGCGTGCAATCTCATTGACCTTCTCTGCAATAGCAGATTGGCATTCGAGTTCTGAGTAAACCTTCTTGTTCTCATCGCCCTCATCGTTGTTGATAAACGTCGTCATGTCGACGTTCTTGCTTTCAGCCTCGATGACCTTGGTTTCAAGCTCAGACGAGCGGCTCTCTGCATCATCAGCACGCTTCTCTGCATCGGCCAACCTCGCTAGGAGGTCTTCGCGCTCAGCATCGTTGCGTGCCATCTCGGCCTGGACGTCCTGCAGCAGTTTCTGAACCTCTTCGCCTTTTGACTTCCAGTCAACCATTTGTGTCTCTGCATATTCGCGAGCTGAGCGTTCGTCACGGACGGTCTCTTGGGCTTCGCCAACTCGGCGTTCAGCATCGGCAATAGCTTTGGAAAGAGCGTCGATCTCAGCTTCTTTTCCAGACAAGCTGGCGGTAAGAGACGACACCTGAGACTGAAACTGGGACTTTACAGACTCAAGCTCTCGGATGGTGACAGTAGGTAGCGATCGTGGTGTAGGCGGCGGAGGCAGCTCAAAATCCAACAGATTCAACATTTGGCTCCTCTGGCTGGGTGTTGCAGGTACTTGCGACCCACCCTTGGCCGGCGATCGCTGGTCCCGGTAATAGGAGCGGAGGTTTGGCTCTGTGATAGACTTGCTAGGCGAATTGCGCCCACGTCCGGGTGACGCACGGCGGGATGAAGAGAAGGATTCAATCTGGGCGGTGAAGTCCAAAAGTAGATTTGTGGTATCGTTATCGTTATATGCGCGCCGTGGCGTAGGACTGGGAGTGCGTTCGGACCGTCGGACCGTCGAGGGTGTCATTTGAGGGCGAGCGCGAGGTGTAGCCTTTCAAATTGTTAGTATGCTACGTGAGATCAACAGCACATAGACTTACATCTGGCATGCCGCTCTTTGCTGGGCTCTGTTTCAGGGATGCGAATTTCGTCATATCGATCCCCGGCATCTCTGAGAAGTTGCTGAAGCAGGTATCATCGATGTCCAAGGATGTTGGCTCTGGCCCATCTGGATTGAAGTCTGTGTTGTCCATGCTCAGATCGATCTCAAATTCGTGGCCTCGAGATGTTCGCTTTCTGGGTGTTTCGCGAGTTTTGAAGTTGCTATCCTCCATGAACTTCATCGCGGTAGTCAAGCCCTCGTTGTCGCGGAGCGGAGACTCTTGGTGAGAAGAGGCCGGTCGCTTTGACGGTGTGACCGATGTCTGCCGCTGATGTGTATGGGTTGGCTTGCGCTGGACCGTTTCGGGCGAAGGTACGCGTGACGATTTCGAGGGCGATTGGCTTTTGTAGGAGTGGCTACTCATTGCGGACCCGCGTCGCTCGGTAGCAATCTCCTTGATGGGCGAGATGTTCTTCTGGGGAGTCTGTCGATCCGCACTGCCAGTTTTATGTGCCGGGTCTTCAAAGTCGTCCATCAAATTCTTTGCTGGCAGTGTCTTCATTGGGCTTGTGCGCTCCTTCAACCCAAATTTCTTCTCGGGAGACACTCTGAAAGCGGATTGGGGTACGCTGTCCTCAAAGTCTATTAGCGGCTTCACCGGTGTGGCTGCTGCTCCAGGGGCAATGTTCTCCTGGTCTTGGACTCCGATGTGTTCGACGAAAGGCGACGAGGGCGGATCGTTGTACGCCATATCAATATCGTCGACGATGATGTTGTCAGAGTAAGTATTGAGCTTCTCCGGCGAAACATTCGACATTGGTTCCGCCATGTTTGCGATTCGGGAAATGCGGTGTCTGGTGTTCGCCGGAGCGCGCAATTGTGTGTTGTGGTTGCTTGTTTACAGTCCGTGCGCGCTGGTTGCCCCTTCCCCATCCGGTATCCCCCGTTTTGGCCGAACCCCAACCACCATCTGCGGCGCGGTATGTATGTTGCAAGTACCGTCATCGCGAAACAACAGGACGTTACATTATGCTACTCAAATCCACATAGACAAAATCTTTTACCAAAGTTTTGTGTCTTGCATGTTTATGCACATCATTGCAACCAAATATGTGATGTATTTCAGTAGTTAATTGCTCCTCGTAATGCACCCGCCAATCTTTGATACTCTTTCAACAGCTCGTCAACCTCCTTCAACTTCAACTCCTGGGCATCTTTGGCTTCCAGAAAGCGCTTCGCTGGTGGTGTGGTCTTCTTCAGTTGCTCCAAAGCAGCGATCGCTCTGGCACCCTTTTCATCTACTGATGGCAACTCGTTCGTGGCTGTACGACTGAGTGGTTCTGGGGAAGGCGATGCTTTCGCCTGTTCCTGGCCCGGTGAGGGGAGAACAGGTGTACTATTGTTACTCACAGCGCGCGCAAAGCGAGGCAGTACATTCATGCTGGGAAAGCGGTTTAAGGGGTTAAAGTTGTTGCCCATATTCCGCAGAGAATCCACCGCGGAGGTGTTGCCAGGCGTTGGAGGATCTGCCTTGATCGGAGCTGGTGACGGTGTCTTCTCCTCTACGCTCTGGCCTGGGGCGAATGCAACGCGCCGCCCACTGTTGCTACCGCCGGACTTGGTAGAATCGACGCTGCGATCTCTGATCTGCCTCCTACCAGCAAAGAGATCAGCCATTTTGGCATCGAGTCCTCTGCTAACTGGAGCCTCTGTTGGCTCATCACCCTGCACTGAACTTGCTGCACTGACACTCAAGCTGTCTTCATCGCGCTCTGCGCGAGTTGGGGAGCTCACGAGCTTCCTTGCATCTTCCAGTGTCTTGGGAAGTACTGGCTGTTCTTGCACAGGGCCATCGGGATTCTTCTCCTTTAGACCACCAAAGAAGAATTTGAAGCTGGTGTCCAACGTGTTGTTGATTCTCCCAAGCGCCTGGTCAGCAGAGTCAAGAATCGAGTCCCGAACGGCATCAGAGGCAGCCTCGATCTTGTTGGTCTGTGTTTGTATAAGGTTACTCAAGCGACGCTGAGCTTTGGTGGTCGTTGGGCTGGAGGGTTCTTTGGGAATTGTCTTGGAGATGGGCGTGGCTGGGGTCTGGATGAGATCTGGCGCATCCGAAAGTCCAAGAGGCATTGGGGTGATCTCGGATTTGGGAGTTGAAGGTCTGGAATCTGGTTTTGCGGGAGTGACTTCGTCGGCGCGCAATGAAGAAAGATCGACGGTTTCCAGGAATGAGATGGC